CTTTTAAGTTTTCGAGATTCAAACGTAAGACCTAAAACCCACCTCGAGCCGCCGATGTGCCTTCACCTTTTCCTTAAAAAAGAAATAATGCTGTCAATACATCATCCGATTAAGGTATCGTCCGTTTTCATATAATCGAACACTTACGTTGATGAATCATTTAAAGTTCACTCTACTATTATACTTAAAATTGATTCTTTCGCCATATATGACCACATATGTGCCATTTAGTGGCAATTGTTTTAAAAGTAATTTTTAAAGTTCCATCGTCCGGCAAAAGATCGATTTTCAAAGACTGTGTTGTCCGTCGGTTTGTCTGTCCTGATACAATTACTTAAATGATTTCTCCGCCGCTAAAACTATGAGAGTCCCGTTAAATATTGGAATTTCCTTGTTTTTGTTAAATTTTATTTTGGACTCAAATTAGGATAGACTACGTTTCATCATTCTTATTGACTTAAAACCATTTAACGTAAGTATGAATAGATGAATAGATTTAAACATTTTAACATACAACTTATATTTTATGATGTTTAAAAATTTGGCAATGCAAAAGAGACATAAATGTATAAACGCAGAAAATGTACGTGTAACTGCATAACTGTTGGATAATTAAAACTTTACGTTTTTGTATGTCCGTGTCTTTGCCCGAGAGACGAAGGTTGCATCAACAACTGAGGGTGTAAACCCCTTAGCCCAGCCGAATTAGTGAAAGGTGTAAAGATATAAAAGTACAGTGCGCTCGCGCAGCGCCTCCGACTCAACGACATGGCGACGTTAGTGCGACTGGTACGTTCATTTATCTATTTTTTTTTATATTACGACAAAGTGACAGTCTTTAAAATATGTCATATTAACAAGACCTAATGTAGTATCTATGTAACTATTTTTTTCGCTTCTTTGTGTTATTTATTTATAGATTAACAAGTGTTGTGATAACAGTGATAAGAAAATGTGGTTTGACCTGCGTCGTGAAAAGTGCAATTAAGGATTGTGTTAAAACGTGTTTCTACGGATTACTGATTGAATTAACAAAGTTTAGCTTACGTATTTGAAGTTAATCTTGTTCTGTATATTCAAACTCGCACTTCGATATCTCACAATTCTGAGATATCGAAGTGCGTATAAGCTTATTAAAAATATTTTACTAAGTACCAAAGTATTCTCATAACAATCAATTGGTATTTTAATTATTAGTGATAATATAATAAGTCTTTGTACAACATACAATGACAATAAGAATGACAAGCATATTTTTTATATATTTAAAGTTTGTATTTAAATCGGTACAAACGTCAGGCAAATCTTTTCTAAATTAAATTAATTGTAAATTAAATAGTTTACAATTAATGTTTCTGTCAAATTTTAAAAATTGCGTCTCGTTCAGCTTTTCCCCCAATATTGTGAAATTGTCTCATATGCACATTACTTCCCAAAAAGTTGAATGACATATATGTTGTTACGATACGACGTAAACGTCGGGTCAAAGTTAAAAATAATTTTCCAATAAATTTAACTAATATATATAGCGTTTTTAAGTATTTTATTTGTATGACATATTCCGATCTCTAAGTGTAATTAATAGTAACTGATAATCTATATTAGCAAAGTGTTATGTTCTTATTTATCAAAGATACCATGATAGAAGTATTTCGTCATTATAAGCATTAATAATATAAGAAAGAGACGGCAAGGTAGTAAAGAGCAAAAAAAACAAGAGATCGATAAAAAAAATTAACTTCGCTGCCCCAAATTCTTTTTAGCAAAACGAAATATATTTTAGGTATGTTTACCCGCTCTCTTCAACCGCAAACCGGTGACCATGAATCGATCAATAATTAGTTATGATTGAAAGCTGATTTCCAAGCTTTAAGCTGAACTGCGGAAACGTTTAGCCTTGGCACTTTATCTTTTTCTAGTACAGATTTCTTAGACGTACTCACAAATAAATAAAAGTATAACTTTCGTTCGTCCATGGTGGAGCCAATACGCTTTGATTAAATGTTAGTTATTAAAAACATTAAATATATTTTTTTAAACGTTAATTTATATTATGGAGTATGAGATTATATCCTAAAAATCCATTATAATCGGTACAAAGAATAAATCGCGTGGTTCTATACCTTTATTATATAAAATTCTTATGTTACAAAATTTGCGCAAGAACTCTTCCAAAATGGCTGAACTTAAATTAATGAAATTTTGAATACACTTTTGACAGGTCTGAGAATTCGTTTGATGTTTTTTTTTTGTTTTTACTTAAGTACCTACTATACCCTTACATAATCGATATACGTGCGTTACTTTTTCTACCAAGGTAGTATCTACAAATAATTTGTATGGCAAAACAACGTAACCGGGTCAGCTAGTATTTGTACGAAATTGGGATTGAGAATTACTAAGCGATATACAGTTTGATCGAGATAGTTGCTAATAAGTTGTCACTCACGATCACAGCGCCAAGCAAGACAAAGTGCCGATACAATTTATATAAAATGGCGGATAGCAATTCAACTTTTACACAATGACCTTATACGCAATAGGGCCACCTTGTTACTTATTCGTTCCGGACTATTTCCCTAATGCACTTTACTCAATTGTGATTATGTGCACTTCCATTCCTAGAATCACGTTTCGCGTTGATAGTATTACTAAAATCTGATGCTATTATTTTCACCAATCTCTTAGAATGGCTTCACTTATATATAAGGAAGAATGAGATCGATAGAAACAAAAAAGGACGGTAATAAAAATTTAAAATACCTCCGTAAACAGTTGGTTGTGTATGTTATTAAAAGTTGTTCGATTATTGCTAAAAATCGACTAAATTGTTGCTGTGAAATTGCTTAGAGACTGCTTACATGCTGATGGAAAATATAAACAAAGGTACGTTAGTGTACCTACATTTTAGTGTTTTACATATTATGTAGTTTGTATTTTTTATCAAAAAAAAAAAAAAAACAGCCTATAACAAAATTTGAAAATCAAACAAATTAAATTTAAAACCAATTCAAGTATGTAGGAAATTGATTTATTAAAATTTAGACAAAGTAAAAGACAAATAATAAAACGCGCAAAAACTTGGTACCGTATGTCTAATGATAGTAGTTTTCAAAAAAGAGTTACTCTGTAAAAAGGTTTTTTAGTTTAGTAAATATATGAGTACTATAATAGCGTTATAAACTATTTCGCGAACGACTCGTGCGGCACGTGCCTGCTATTACATTCACTTGTACCGTCAGAAAATTAATTAAAGTTATAACAATACAACAATTAAATTATTTCTTATCACGTCTTTAGCAACTTTTACCCTGTATCATTATCCTAAAGTACTACGTATTGTTTCCTTCAGATCATTAACACTGTCTGTAGTGTACGTGCCGAGTAGTACACAGTTGAGTAAAACACCTAAAGTTATTATTACTTAAATATATTACGCGTTTTAAACCGTTAAAGTGTTTCTTTTTATAATCCATGAGACGTTGCTGAATTAGATCTAAAAAGAAGTAAAGTGACCTTAAGATATTGTTGAGTCTTTTAATTTAAAAAGCTTTATATGATAATGTGTCTTCTAATAAGTAATTATTAAAAGTACTGTTAGACGCTTCGTATTTTTTCTGTACGAATAAGAATCGTTGCCAATTTGCTATCCGTACAAGGTGGAGCATTATTAAGAATTTAGTACACTATTTATCTATGGTTTATAATTTACAGTGCTTATTATTTGATTGCTTTACATTAATTCCACAAGTAGAGTTATTCTGAAGACTAACTTATACACGCGGCTTTCCGCGTCACTTCCGTGTTATTTTAAAATGTCTATGCAAAATTTATATTGATTGCTCTGTTTTTTGCGACTGACGAATAAATTTACAAAGGCTAATTGGCTTGGTACTTCCTTGCCCCTTATGATATAAAGTTTACAAAAACACTTACCCAGGGGGCAAACGATTACAACCACCGCGCTTGTTGGTCTAATTGTAGCAATAACTGATAACCAACGGGACGTGGGTTTGTGGGGGTGGGTTACAACTTTTAATTTTTCCAAAAGATGCTGTCTTGGCATAGAAAATCTGTATATTGAATAGTTAGTAGGAATATTGAAAATGCAACCTGAGTCACGAATCACGATAAAAAGTCTGTGGATTTTCGAATATTCAAAGTGTTGTTATACAAGTGAATATCTATATATATTCAAACGGTTATATAGTCAATAGTAAGTACCTAAGATAAAAGAAGTCCTATGAAGGCTTTGTCTGACATAACAATTAGCAGCCTTATGAAATATTACGCGTTTCCTAGGTGAAGCGAAGTGAATGGTGGTCAAACCGGGCCTGTCCTCTACGCTACGCCCTTTGAGCGACCAACTCGCTTTATAAAAATAGACTATAAATTGGCGCCTTTACTCTGACTTCCGCTAACTTTTAGCCGATTTTTGTTCTATATATAAAGGTTATAACAGCAATAAAACTTGTTATTTCAACATCAATTATTACGAAATTTTATAATTAAGATGTATATAAAAAAGGCCCAAATATAACTTTACACTTTTAGTATCTCTTGTTATATTCTTTGTTTGTACACTTTTGTAAGGGCAAGTATTAAATTGTAAACTAGTTGTCTGCTATATGTCATCAAATGAAGTTCATCTTAGTTTCTAATATTAAGATATAATAAAACAAAATTTAGAAATACAAAGAATTCAGAAAAAAACATTGTCTTGCATAAATGTTACATGTATAAAAATAGCTTTCAACATAGTAATTATATAGATATATGGAATAAAATAAAAATAAAAAAATATACCATATTTCTACATATATAATTTCAACAAAGCAGGTTACCTAATAATTTCATACAAATGTTTTCATACAACAGAATTCTCGACTTACATCACGCCACGGCACTTGGTAGTACAGAATTTTTCATAAAATCATTATATTGTTATTCGTTGGGCAACGAAATAGACAAGGCTGTATTTCGTTTGCCAACGCTATTATATGGAAGGCTGCACACGACACGTTAGTTTAATATTTTGCAAAATTCTACATTTTACGAACGAAATATAAGTATAAGACGAAATGGATTTCGTAGAACCACATAAACGACACAATAGAATTAAAAGTAGTTTTATAATCAAACGTTAATTTAAAGTTAGTTTCGAGTCTGCCTCCTTAAATACACCTAAATATAAATAGGCTTCAGAATGTAGTATAACGGTTTAAATCAATACTAATATTATATAGCTGAAGAGTTTGTTTGCCGTTAGTTTGAAGGTGCAAATCTCAGGATTTTTTTTCGCAACAACAATTTGATCTAGTACAGTTCAAATTGTTGTTGGGAAAAAAAATATGTTTGTGTTGATTAGACAATGTATCGAGGAAGGTTTAGACTATAAAATATCACGCTGTGTTCAATATGCGAAGAACAAAAAAATCTATAAAATTTATATTAATTTTTTTTGAGCTAATATAACTATTATACGCGGACGAACTTGCTGGCTTAGCATTTTATCTCTACTATTGTAATTTCAACAAAGCTTTGTGAGTACCAATTAACCTCTGTTTTTTTTCTAGGTAATATTGGCGCTATGCGCATGCGCACACGCGCAATACGCCGAAGAACGTGCGCCCCGATACATCGCTACAGAGTCCAAAACAGCGCCGCCCCCGCCCGTCGCCATTCTTAAACAGATAAACAGGTACTCGAACTTTTTGAAAAAGCAAACTAATCGATTCAGCTAAGGGCCATCAAATTATATATCATATTGTTTGATGGGCTTTTTTTCAGAATATTAAGTTAATATTAAACGGGTCGCGGGTTCGATGCCTGTCAAATTTAAATAATCTTAAAATTATATTTTTTACAAACATATTCGATTTCATCTGTAAAGTCTGAATATCAAGTGGATGGGAGGTATATCAAAATTCGGTCTGTATTTCCACCACCGCCCACAAATGGCGAAGCCTTGAAGTGCGATTGGGTTTCAGTCTGTGGATTTCCAAATGCGCAAAGCCAACATAAGTCGACACCATATCTATTTTGCCATCCATACAATGAAACCCATGTTGGTCTAATCTGTCGTTTTCTAGTTAAATGTTGCTTTTTCCATGTCATAATAAACTTTGTCAGTAAGAAATTGTTTCTCAAATTTCAGACACAATGAAGATGGCTCCTATACATACGGCTATGAAGCTGGAGATGGCTCTTTCAAGATCGAAACCAAGTCACCAACCGGTGAAGTTAAAGGGAAATATGGCTACAAAGATGACACAGGCAAGGTGGGTAACGTCGTTGTTTTTTATAACAAACAGGGAAGAAATAAATGACCGTCAAGACCACTCAGAGATTTCTTTAAATTCAAGCACGTTCCTTTTGGTTTCCACATTCTTGAACACCTCTGCTATGGTTTAAATTGTATTTGGTCAATACAACTGAATGGTGACAATAGATTGTTAAATGTCTTCTTCCGATCAAACGTCAGTTTGCATTAGTGAATTTACCCAATCTATATTACAAATTCGTAAATTCATTCGGGTATTAAGAAATAATGATTAACCAAATATTTCTGTCATTATAATACCGATAGTAATTTTGATTATAGTTCTGTTTATATCTTTAACGTTTGTCAAAGTTATTTACGCCGCCATTTTACATTACAGCTAAGAGTAATCGAGTATGGAGCCAATAAGTACGGTTTCCAGCCTGCTGGAGAGGGTATCACTGTTGCACCCCCCACTCTTGTGGATGAGTCTACCAGGGATGAAGGTCTGCGGCCTAGCAAGTCACAGGTGGGTTCGAGATAAAGTTTATTAATCTCTACTAATATATGAAGCTGAAGAGACGCTTATCTCAGGAACTACTGGTTCAAATTGAAACATTCTTCAAACACAATCAAGTAAAGCCATCACAACCAAGTTTTATATTTACAGCAAGGGGGTAGAACGCAATACCGCGCACAACCCCAGCAATCCATAGATTACGATTACGACGAGCCAGCTCCGCGGCCGGCGCCCCGTCCTTCTCCCCAACCCGCCTATCGCGCTAGTCCGGCACCCCAGCAGTACCGTCCTACACCGGCGCCATACAGACCGCCGCCCCAACCTCAGCCACAATATAGACCACAACCACAATCTGCACCTACGCCGCCCAAGGTAAAGCAATCAATTGTACTTAATTGCTAAAAATCGTATGTTATACGATTTTTAGCGCGAAATCTGCAGAAGAAACAGATAGCGCTTTTGTACATTTCAGACTTCTAAAAAGTAGTTTTGCATTGAATTGACTTACCGGGTCCTTTGCTGTTGTTGGCGATTTAGTTTTTCTCCTCCCTGTATTTTGATGGTATATTTTAATATAAGATTTTTTATAATATTTTCGTGCTTAGCACGGGACATTAAGTCACACAAATTAGTTTTTCTGCGAGAAAAGAAATTACATTTAATGTTATTATTTATTTGTACATGCAATAATGTATATTACTGCTTCTTGGTATCTCATAGCAATCACGAGATGCTATTATAATGTTCTATAACTTTTTCACTTAAATACTATTTAAAGAAAACAAAAACACATCGGGATGTCTCTTGTTTTTGATTTCATAGTACACATAGCAATTACATTGTTTAATATTTACAAATAATATTTTGCTATTTTTAACAGTAATTTGTTTAATGTGTTTAGTACACATGCATAAACTACGGAGAATTTATTTAAGCCTGTAGTACACATTAAATTAATAAAATAAAAACCTAATTGATTTTACTGACGTACCTCGACACGTACTTTAGACAACATTTTAAAGTAGCAATGCACTTGGCTTTAAGACAAAGGAATAAATGATAATATTAGATATGTAAGATTTAAAACTTGAATAAATTGCAGCCCCAATTCTTCTCGGGCGCCGCACCAGCTCCAGTAGAAGACAATTTCTTCAACCCAGAACCCCAAGCGAGGCAACAGCAGTACAGGCCCAAGCAGGACTTCCGTCCAGCGCCTCAACCACAACAGTTCTCACAAAGGCACACCGAGGTTAGTAACTTTCAATAATTACTTAAAACCTCTTCGCAGATTTAGGAAGACAATCTACGCAAATATCAAATAGTGTAGCTAAATGGTTAAACGTGTTGTCTAACATCCTTAATTTAACATACTATATTACTTTCCTGTAAAGTAAATCGATCAATAAACAGCCTTTGAAAAGTAATTCAGAAAATAAACAATAAAAGATATATAAAGCCCGCTTCTGGTTAGAATGTTTTGTTCGCGCAGAGAACGGCAGTTTGAACTACTTGCTGCTAAAAGATCGATCAGTGTAACGGACACAAAAATGTGTTTGCCAAAAATTCTGATATTTTAATATGCTAGACATCTAAATAAATCCGAATATGTGAAACTACTAATAAATAAAAAAAATGCAAATGTATTATGTATTTTGAATAAAATGAAAACACTAAGACAACTACGACTAGACAAAATGAGTGTAATGTTTTATTTCTTATCTATCTATATATAATATATCCAATGATCATTATCAGAAGTATTATAGAAATTGAATTGTTTTCAATTTCCAGTTGGACTTCAACCAGGACTTCGGCCCCGCACCTCAGCAACCACGATTCCAGCAGAACCAGTTCCAACAAGCCAAGCCGAGCCAACAGTTCTCCATGTTAGACCAACTGCTCAAGGAATACGCCCTGCCTAAGGGTGGTGCTGCCCCAGTGCACGATATCACCTTTGGATCCTTCTAGTTATTTAAAAAAATTGTATATAGTATTCTATAAAATTAAATCAATTAGTACCCGTTTATTGTACTTTTATTTGTATAGGGATCGTGTATATTTTAATAATTTGCTACTTTGAAATAAAACACTTTAACGGTTTAAAATCCGAAATATATAAGTTAAACTTCTTTAAAAATTAAGTACGGTCTGACGTTTCGGATGCTTTTTAAACTAAAAATGTAGGTTGCATCCAAAACGTCAGGTGGTAGTTAAATTTAACTAATACATTTGGCATTTTAAATAGGTAAAGTGTTTTATTCAAATGTGTACTACTCTCGTAAAGTACAGACAGTATTTATTTTGTTGCTGTAAAACAATTATTTAATTCATTTTAATAAAACACTTTAACGGTTTAAAACGCGATATATTAGTTAAACTTATTTGAAAATGATTTTTAACTTCGGTTTGACGTTTCGGATGCTTTGCAGCAACCGTGGTCACGGGGAGACCACACACGTTAAAAGTGTTTTATTTAAATGTGTACTACTCGCGTAAACTATAGACAGTATCTAATTATTTAATTCGTTAATACGAATATTACATTGAAACCCGACATGACTCCTGAGCCATTTTATAGGCAATTTTGTGTCCGTTAGAGCGGAGAAGTTTTGTAACATTTACCATGGGTTAAAAACCAGTGACTTCCTCTATTGCTACATATTTAAACGTATTGTCTAGAATTGGGTTAAGGACGAAAGATCCGGGGTTTAGGTCCCGGGGAAACACTTGCCGCAAGCCGGAGAAGTCTGATCTTTAAGTTGCCTGTAAAAGAATCGATCAGTAAAACGGACATAGAATTAAGTTCGCCCCTTGCTCACCGGTATAAACGGGTTTTACTCATATAATCTACGAAGATGAGGTGGTATTGAGGATTTTATTTTTACAAGCATGAGGTACTTGATAGAACGTAACATACCCCAGCCATATAACTTGATAAGATGTGCTGTCGATCTATATCGTCTTTACACAAACGTCACATATTTAACAAATATAACATTATGCAAACAAGCATTGTTAATATTGAACAAATTAGAAGCCGAGGCCGTGGGCCCGATTCCCAGGGATCTATATAGATGCAGAACAATGTATGCCTCTTACTTGGCACGTATGCTTTTCCCATACTATTGAGTAACGCTTTATAATGCACTTTGTCATAATACACCTGACGATGTGTGTTTGTATTTTAGTCAAACAAAAATTATGATCGCTCAGTTACATCTTTTGTAACAGACAGTAGGTTTTTTTGTATAATAATAATGTGTTTACTGTAGCCTTTTTGTCAGCTTAAGTTTAAATGAAATTAACAGTAAGAACACCTAATCAAAAAAAAGACACAAAACAAAAATCCGAACGAAGATTCTGTTGATGTATTGATATGGCAAGCAAATGACTTTTTTTACTAGCAGTCGGTTAAAAAGAAAAGCCGAATGAGAGCCTTTTGTAAGAATCGCCACCGTGAAGGCTGTGCATTGACAAAAAAGGGCAACGTTACTATTTATTGCAGAACAGAAATTACGCAAATGTGTTGTACCAATATGTAATGCTATTTTATAAAATATAACATTTGTAGCTTACACTTACTAACAACTTGTATTTTAGCTACAATATATATATACTTACAATCTATACTCATATATAAAAATGAAGAGTCTGTTTGTTAGTATGTATGTTTGAACGCGCTAATCTCAGGAACTACTGGTTCGAATTAAAAAAAATCTTATTGTGTTGATTAGAACATTTATTGAGGAAGGCTATAACAAACATCGCCGTGACTAATGGGAGCGAAGAAACAGCGGGAAATGTAGATAAAACGGTGAAATTGGATGGATAGGATGTATCCTTTGTGGGTTTCCATTGCGTACGCTGCGAAAACGGTTCAAGATACCCAAAAAATATGTATGAGAGAATGATTTCTCTTTAAATTTCTCTGTCGTGTATGCCTATTTTGTAACATTCACCTGCAAGAACGACGGGACGCGGACGGCGTCGTGGGTCATAGCTTAAGTTTATAGAGTTGAACAGGAGGTGTGCAAGAGTAAAAATGTAATACTCAAAATAACGACTCTACGCGTACGGAGGTTCAGCTAGTTAGTAATATTTGCAAATTTTATGTTATTGCACATGTTAGCATTGCAAAACTTATGGGATCTATTTAGTTTGAAAATATTAACGACACGGGCGAGACTTGAACCGGCATATCACAGCGTTCGGTGACACCGATCGGATCCGTAGCTGTGTTTTAAATCGGTTATCTAAATAGGTTTTTTTTATATTAGTTAAATGTTAATTTGAATGATACATTACTCTAGCTAAATATTACAGTAAGCTAACTTCTGTGTAAGTATAAATTATCTTTTTAGTTTTCACAACTTTATCTTTTCCCACAAGATAGTGTGCGCTAGATTTTCCGGAAAGATACATCGATTGTTATGTTTACGCTTTTAAAAACACATTTATTATATAGCAACATTTTCCTTTGATTGTGTTTCATGTTTATAACTAGTTAAGTTAGTGTTACGTATACTTAAAATTGTAACTATATTTTTAGAACTAAATGAATACATTACACTAAAAGTTGTATGTTACTCCTTTTACCCTGGGAATACTTTTTAGTTATCAACTGCTGTAACTCAGGGGTCAAACGTGTTCCAGCATTTCGCTAAGCACATGAGACAGTAGCTTTGAATCGCGGGGAAACGATTTATTATTTCGGTTGGGTAGGGCACAAAAGTTTGATCTTGACTTGTATGTAAATTAAATTGATCAATAAAAAGGTCACAGGGGGAAAACATGATTTCACTTAGTCTTAGTCGTATGTTAAGTTCATTTTACTATTTAAACAGTAGTTACAAATAATGTTATTGCAAACAAAACAAGCGCACAAGTGTGGCCTACAAAGATAAAGGGATTACAGCAACGTGCGTGGGAGCATCGGGGAGTAACTCTATGACATATCGTCACATCCACGAACAATGGATGAGATCGTTTTTATTACGATACTCGTTGAGATTGCGTTACGACAGGTCTAGACATTTAATAGGTTTATCAACTGTATTACAGCAAATTTTAATTAAGTATTGTTTGTAGTTAACGCGATACACATTTACATAGAACACTTCTTCGTTATAACTTTGACATGAGGGATACCCGCCACCTACAGTCCCCTGTTACCACGTCTGCTGTAAAGCATCCGAAATGTCTATTAGCTATATCTATAGAATGAGATATGTGCAAAAAATTAACCTGGTATTGCTGGATCCACTCTTTAATAGATTTCTATATGTTATTAGAAATCCCTTACAGTGAGCAGTTCGACTGTCATTTTTCATACAACTTATTGATATATGTTAATTTTTGTTTACGATTATTTTTACAGTTCAAAATACAAAGTATTAAAAGTTTGAAATAATGTTTTTTTTTAAATAACGTATTCGATAAATACAGTGTAATATACAATGTAAGGTAATGAAATAAAACATGTGAAAATTAGAAAAAAAATGTAATAAAAAGCCTTATCTATTTACAATAAAATCTATCGAGTATTAAATGGTAACTGCAATAAATAATATTAATTGGTTTTTGAGTTGCTCGAGCCTTCTTCTCCCAGTATCTGTACATTCCTTACCTGTTTTCTCGTTGGTGCTGCCGTGGTCAATTCGGTGGACGGCGCCGGGGTGGGCATGTAGTCTGGACTGATGGCTAGTATCAACATCTTCAGCAGCAACGCTTCTCTCACCTCAACAGGCAAGTATTCCGGTTCTTCTATGTTATTGGAAGAGGATCCCACTGAATCATAGGGCCTGTACCTACTCCTCGGCACATACCTCTGACTCTCATATTGATTATCGTAATTATAATCCTGTCTATATTGATCGTAATCATATCTATCGTCTTTGTATCTTCTTTCATACTCTGGATAAGGAGCGCTGTAAGGGTTCACCATCAGTTGATCCATTATTACCTGTAAGCGGTTCTGACGCATCATCAGAATGTGTAGAAGACGTCTAAAATCTCTGGTACTGACTGGAGCTGTAATGGAATTCATATCGTCATAAGGATCGTATCTTTGGACGACTGGCTGAGGCCGGTAGTTAACGAAGCGCGCTTGGTATCCAGGTATCGGAACTCCTCTTTCGTCTACTGGTATTAAGCGAACGCGTCTGACGTCATACGGCACAGCAGTGGAGTCGTGTACACTTGCTTTTGGGTGTGGTGTATCCTTTATAACGCGAGGGTCCAGTACCTGTTGTTGTAATTTGTCCTCATATTCGTACTGGAGAAAGGGCCGCGTGTTACCTATGGGGATCGGTGATCCTGGATTATCTCTCAAATACTGATCAGTTCGGAAATGTACTGTCGCTGGCCTTCTATATACTGGTTGATTGTAGATTCTTTCGTGATGTTCTCGAGGTCCAATATGAACTACGGGTACAGGGTTGGCGGTGACCACACCTTGCTGTTCGAAAACTCTTCCCGTGCTCGCTTCTATATTCGTCTCTTGATCATCCAGCTGCACCTCTTGGTACTGGCTCGGTATCAGCTGGCGTGTAGATATAACAGAATGTGCTGGTATTAATCTCGACCGTGGAGTTGTCGTAAACAAAGGTCGCACTGTTCCATGAGATAAGTGGCCTCCGTACACATCAGTGGAATCATCACCCATAGACTGCTGTAAACTTAACATGTGATGATTATGGCTTGTCCCCGAGAGCTGACGGCGTATCGCATTCGATTTGATTTCTGGTTCTTTTTCAGTTACCTCTTCATAAACAGGCTTAAAGGTTTGAGGCGCGGGTGTCGTTGTGGATTTTGGTAGAAGATCGTCGCTTGTTGACACAGAAATCGGGTTTGATATTTGCGTTCGAGTCCTCACAATATCGCCTTTATTTTTATACAGATGTAACATATTTGTAGTTGCTTCTTCGAGCTTATTTTTATCTGTTGTGGGGTCATTCATATTTGGAGCTCTGGTAGAAGACACCGGTCGCCGTCTAGGTATCGGCTGTATAACAGTACCTCTTGTAGTAGCGCTGCTCCTAGTGGGGTACACAACTGTTGCCAAAGGTCTTCTTGTTGTAGATGAAACGGTTTTATTCATCCTCACTATCATCGCTGGTGTACTAGGCGTAGTGGTGGTCGTAACAGGGATGGGAGTGCTTTCACCATTAGAAGTGTACGTCACACGTTTGATTTCCCCGTCTTCAGCTACGTACCCAAACGTTCCCTTCACGTTACCGAGCACATCGCGACTCTCAATTTTAAAAGTCCCATCGTTCGCTTCATATCCGATGGTATACGACCCGTCATCATTCAAGCGACGTATTTGCTTCACGATTTCCACTTTAGTCGGGTCACCCGTCTCGCTGGCCTTAAGGATTTCCTTCGTCGAGTTGGTCGGTGGTTCGATGGTGGTATCATTTTTGTTGTCTACTGGTATAGCATGTATGGTGAGGCAAGAGAGCAGTATGAGGAGGATCATCTCGCAGTCGACGACGGCAGCCACATGACGGCTCTACGGCGCCGGCCGCGAACACGACTCCCCTATTTATAAAATATAAAACCCCACTCGTGTCCCAGCGTGCGAACGTCTTACGCAAATAATGCTATTGTTGTCACTACATTATCTAAAGCGGGAAATCTTTTTCTATGAAGTGCTGTAAGGTCCCAATTGTTTAATTGTCCGTTCTGAGTACGATTCAAATAGTATTGAAACATTCTTAGTTTTGTTCGGTCAAATATTTATTGGGTCTAATTGCTCAATTGTTCCGGGGACTGGACTGTCTCACGGTGGAGTCAATGTCAGTTTTAATAACTGGCTTATGGTCTGCTAAAATTGCATTTACCTTTTGCAAAACACTGTACAATCTTATCCGTATAAATTTTAAATTAGTTTAACACAAAAGGGCATTGAGCGCTATGAGAATTCCCTTAATACAGTAAGCCTTTGTGTTTAATTTGTTTGAAACCACTTAATTCGATGTAGTACTGATTAATAATGGTTTCCTGTGAGAACAGATCTTGAGGTACTTCATGTAATGTTTAAGGTATATAAAAGTAGGTTTATTAAAACTAGCTAATGAGCGGTAACTAATATTTTTCTCGGTTCAAACATTAATTTGTAGAATCAATACTCTACTTTGCGAAAAGGCTTAAGTTTTGTGAAAACAAAATGTATCACAAAATGTATTAATATGAGCTCCATCTAGTGAGTAAACTTGAAACTTAATGAGAAATGCATTCATTGTTATAATGTTGAACTACAATTTGCACCATACTATGCACGGAAAGAAAAATACGCGGGGAAGAGGGCTCTTATATACAAATTCAATTTCTTAAAGAATTATATCATGACTAGCTGTAGCCGCGAATTCGTCCGCGTGGAACAGCCATCATATTTATTTTCGTACTCAACCTTCTCAGCTTTATAAGTTACAACATAATGTTGTCCGCGTTCAGTCGGTTATCTAATTTTATTTTATTTTTTTATATCTGTTAAATTACATAGTTTTTATTGTTCTAATAGACTAAATTACATTATTATATTAATATATATTATAATAATTATTACATATATGTAGTATATTATCTTAAACTAAAGTTACGTTTTTTTGGAATTTAATACATTATAGATATTTCGTTATTTTTTTTTTAAGGTACAAATTCCGAATAACAATAATTACGTATAATCATCAGAAAAGTAGATAAAAAACTACTTAACCTATTAATATACTAGAGAAAATGATTGAAAACTGAGATGATCATTTCAAAGATTATTGGCCCTTATTCAAGCTATGTTAAACCGCCTATGAATGTGTTTTAATGGCCTACCTTGTTTTAATCAAACTCATAAAATGTCACTCTCCTTGAGGTTCTTTCTCCCGTACTTCCTTATAGCCGAGATACTGATCATCTTTACGACTTATTTATAAATAAACCTATGACATTATCTCAAGGCTTCCGTTTAGCTTCACCACAATTAAGTCCAAAAGGACGTGGATTGTATCAGCCAAATCTATACTTATTATATATAAAGCTGAAGAGTTTGTTTGTTTGTTTGAACACGCTAATCTCAGGAACTACTGGTCGGAATTGAAAATGTCTTTTTTCTCTTTGTGTTGGTTAGAGCATGTATCGACGAAGGTTATAGGCTATTAAAGCTGAGACTAATATGAGCAAAGAAAAAGCGGGAAATGTGGAGAAAACGGAGAAAATTATACACCTTTGTGGGTATCCGTAGCGTACGTTGCGAAAACGGTTCACTATACCAAAAAAAATGGCTGAAAGAATGATTCCTCTTTAAATCATATAAAAAAATGTCCGCGAAGTGTCGCGTAGGTCTATCTTTTAGGATTAACTTGCAAGAACGATGGAATGCGAGCGACGTCGTGCGTCGTGGGCAATGTTGATGCTCAACATAACTATTCTACGCGGACGAAGTCGCTGACGCAATTCGTTTTAAATGTTTAAATGGCAATTTTACTTTCATCAATACTTGACAATACTTGATCCGGCAAACGTTGTTTTACCATAACAGTCACTAACTTATAGAATAAATAATATTATGTTTTGGATGAGTTCAAGCTCAAACATTGTGACAAGATAATATTATATATTAGAAAATATGACGAAATTATAATGTGCTAATCTGACTAAACCATTTACGAAGATAATTTTTAACGTGTCTATCACACTGTTAGCAAAAATTTAAGTACTTACATTTATATAATCATTAAAAACAATTAGAAGCAACCAATTCGACACGAATTAAAAAAATAAGAAATTAGAATACAATTAAACTTGACTTAAACAACAAAATATTAAATATTATTTACATAATAATTATAGTTTATTATTTATAACTATGAAATCATAAACTTAAATTCACATACCAAAAATGTCTTTTTGCCTTATTTTTATAGTATTAAATAGACATATACAACCTATCATACAAATTACAAAAAATATATCTGATTATTTTTGTTTCAGCTTGCGCTTTTTAATTACAACTAAATGGGGTTTTAGAAGTTTTATCAATTTTTTTATTTATTCAGTTATTTATTAATATTTAAAACTCAAGTTTTTTTCTTTAACTTAAGTTGCAATGTCTGAAGACGTTACTTAAGAATATTAATTAAAAAGTGCAGTAGACAAGCGTTTTGTTTATTACACCACGCGACTGAGGTATGCGGAAAAGACCAACCTGTTTATTGAATTACTAGGCCATATCTTTGAGTAATATGCTCTCAATTACGCATCGTTCCGTTCTATATAATTACGCACCAGCTTATTACATGTCGGTATTAATTTTTGACAAGTTACGCCTCGCTATCTGACGTTAAGTACCCCTTATGGTTCTAACTGCGAAGATGGATTTTTTTGTTTCGCCTCTAACAATTACTACTTAAAAATTGTAATTTCTTTAAAGTATGAAGTTTGACCGCACTACATTCAATTTAGAAGTTTTTATATAATTTAGAAATTTAGATCAAGAAACAGATCATCTTAATGATCAAGTTTTTATATATTAAGGGTATTATAAATTACCATAGTGTGGGTGTGAATTGTTGAAATCAAACAACTGGATTTATTTATAAAAAGTATAATTTATTACAAAAACAAAATATTACAAAATTGCTACATTTATTTTTACAGACTGGCCCCCGCCAGGCGTCGAGGGGTCTTTCGGTATCGTTTTAGACTTACAGCTAATCTACGATTAAGTACTGATCAGACACAGCATTATGTACACACGCGACCAAGTCCAACGAACTAGATTTCGACACTGCACTACGCGACCGCAAAAACTTGTACACTGATATTTATGGCCAGACGGACTCGATTCGGTCGACAGTGCTACCTAGCTCTGAATATTAACTACGGCTTCTATATTTGGATGCCGTGTCCTCTCAGGAACGCGTCGATCTGGCCGGACGATATGGACTCGCCGCCCCTCGGCACGTAGTAGTACTGAGGCGTCTGCGCTCTTTGGGCTTGGTGCTGGGGCTGGATCGTAAGTCTCTGTGCTTGGGCGCGCGCGGCCGCCCTGTCACGCTGCAGCTGGCTCTGCTGAATCTGCTGTTGCTGAGCAAACAGCTGCGCTGAGTTCTGGAACTGAGACTCGGCTTGCTGCCTCTGATACAACTCTTGCGGATTCGATTGCTGGATCGGTTGCCTGTACACGGGGCTCGCTCCCACTGGGATCTGTGGGGACGGGATAAACGGTCTCTGGGCTTGCGGCTGTGGCTGAGCCACGAACGGCTGCAGTCTCTGGTTGAGATTCAACTCTCCCTTGGTCTGCGGGAGCGCTTGGAATAGTTGCGTGTTGTATTGCCCACTGGAAGGGTCGTAGATTAATTCGGTTGAGTACAGAGGGTTTCCGCTAGGAGATGGGCTAGCGGCGGCTGTAGTTCTCGTCGGGCTGAGAGCGGCGGGCGTTGTCGATTGGATTTGGTTTTCACGGTGGAACTTAGCGAATTCAGCAGCAAAGTCTATCTGACTAGCTCTAGTCGGTGCGGCCGGTGAAGGAGCCGGTGCGTAGTTAGGAGTGGGAGAAGGAGCATAGTTGGGTTCGGGGCTGTATTGAATTTGTGGCCTGGCCGTCACCTGGACGAGTTGAGGTCTGAACGTGGTCGCTGGAGGAAGTGCTCTTGCGGTAGTAGCTGGAAGAGGACGAGGGGTGATAGCAATTTGTTGAGCTTGGTAGGCCGGTCGCAATGGTCGAGCCGGTTGCGGTCTCTGCACAACACGTGGCCTAAGGTTTTGCAGGGGTTCTTCTTCGGGTTCCTCGTCGGCATCTCTGAAGTCGTTTTGGAAGTAAGTAGTCGTCGGTCGGGCGGTCGTGGGTCGAAGCGCTGGCCTGGTCGGGTAATTAGGTACGCCGTCGTCGCGCTCTGCGGATTCTGGTGCTTGGGCCTCTGGCTCATCTTCCTCGTTGGGCTTATTTGGATCGCACGGATTACCAGAAACATATGTGAACTCTCGTTTGTTGCCATCTGGGTCGATGTAACCGTATTTGCCGCGAACCACGCAGTCGGTTCCCCTTGTCTCCTCCTTGAAAGATCCGTCGGCTGCTTCGTAGCCGAAGGTGAAACTGCCGTCATCATTTACCTGAAATAATATTTTATTATATCATTCTTGAAATTGTCTTTTATTCTAGTTCATCATTTTTAACTATATAAATACTAACAAAACTAAAACTAATTTTGACTACAGTTTAATATGCAAGATTACGGGTTTGTTCCAGTAATAAGGCAAGCTAGTACAACACAAAACAATGAAAAGGTCCTTTATTTATTTATTTTAAGAAAGAAACAAAACAGAAACACCAATCGATTACAATTTTATAGTAAGAGTAAGTATATAATATAAAGGTGCATCCTAAAAAATGTTTCAAAGATAACTAATGTATAAAAGTAAGTTACAAGCAAATATCCTTAAAGGAATAATAATGAAATACAAAAACACAATAAGAATACAAAAAATAATAATAAAAAGCCGCAAACATGCAATTAAGTTAAATTTAAGTCAGACGCAAGTTCGTTTCTCAACATTGATAACAACTTGCGCCTGAACTCCGCAGGGGGGCACGAAAATATGTCAACATTGTTGAATCTTGTATTGTACGATTTACACATTCTACGTAGAGGCATTCGAAACCCAATATTAGTTCTAGCAGAGGGCAAGTCAAAGGTGTTACATGAACGAAGAGACCTGGCGGGGACATGAAGGTATAGTAAGCCAAGTAGTTCAGAAGAAGTCTGCTCACCTGAGCAGATCTTCTTTAACGTCATACAATCTATTAATGTTCGGCGTTGAACCAGCGTTAAAAAGTTAAATTTTCGCAGTAGATCGTCATAGTGCAAGCGGTTTCCATTCACTCGGTAATTTAGTATGCGTAAGAACTTTTTTTGGACTGCTTCAATGCTCTGTTCGTAGATTGAATAATAAGGATTCCAAATGGAGCTTGCATATTCTAGGTGGGGGAGCACGAGAGATTTGTAGAGGTAAGTATAAGTGTTTTTACTTTTAAATGGTTTAGAAACCCGTGTTATAAAGCCCAACATGCGCAAGGCAGTATTAATAATATTATCTACATGTATGTCAAGAGTAAGTTTAGTATCTAAGTGAATGCCAAGATCTTTAACAGTTGAAACTAAGGACAGTTGTACATTTCCTAGGGTGAATTGTGTTGGTATAACATTTTTATTTCTTGTGAAAATCATGTGTTTGCACTTGTTATAAGCCAGGTGTAATTTATTACGATGGCAATAAGCATCGAGTCTATTTAAATCTTCTTGAATGTAGGCTGCATCAGCTAAAGAATCAACTTTTTTAAAGAGTTTCAGGTCGTCAGCATAAAGCAAATATTTACAGTGAATGAAACATTGAGATATGTCATTAATAAAGATAGAAAAGAGCAAGGGTCCAAGTATGGAGCCCTGTGGGACGCCGGATGTAACAGTGACTGGATAGGATGTATAGCCGTTCACAGTAACTGATTGGGTGCGGTTTTGAAGATAAGCAGCAAACCACCGTAAGAGATTGCCTTTAATGCCGTTGAATGACAACTTACGTAAGAGCAACACATGATCCACTTTGTCGAAGGCTTTCTGAAAATCAGTGTAAATGGTATCGGTTTGTACTTTACTATCCAAGCTGTTGAAAACATAGTTAGTAAACAGAAGAAGATTAGTGATGGTTGATTTCCCAACGACAAAACCATGTTGTTGATCAAGTATAACATTCTTGAAACTATAGTAAATACGTCGATGCAAAAGCCTTTCTAACACTTTCGGAATAGTAGAAAGGATGGAAATGGGACGATAATTTTCAATGTTGTTTCTCGCCCCCGATTTAAATATTGGTGTAATGTGAGCAACTTTCCAGATACTTGGAAAACAACCTGATGATAAACACTTATTGTAAAGGATCTCAAGGGGCAAAGAAATCGAGTTACAGGTGCGTTTAAGAAATATGGGGCTGATATTATCCGGCCCGGCTCCTTTCTTATGGTCAAGTTTATTTAGTTCCCTACTGATCTCGGTTCTGGAAATAGATACATGGCTAATTAAAACGTGGGACTCATTTACAGCATTTTCAACCGGTGTAAAAGAATTACTGACATTCAAAGAGGGTTCAAAAGTAGACTGAAAATATTGAGAAAACATTTCTACAATAGTTTTAGGATCGCTAGATAAAATGTTTCCATATTTCATAACTTGTGGGTAACCTGAGTTATTTTTTTTATTTTTTTTATCAATCCTCCTGTATCAATTTACAAAATAATTTACCCGATTTAAGAGTGAAATGTACATATCGAATAAATAACTAGTATAGTCCCACCTTATTGTAATTTCTGATGGTCTGCACAGGCGGCTGCTTAGGTCCTTCTTGAACCTGGTTCTGCTTCAACCGGGGTTGTGGCCTGTGGACTGCGCGAGGCTCGTACTCTTCGTCGACACGGTCTTGCGCTTGGTAGAGATCGTATGCGTCCGGAGACACTAGGACAACCTGGAACATAACGTAAAATATTATTCACAACTTTTCGAATATCCAAATTTGAAATACATCGACAGCATCTTGTTTAGATATAATATGTAGTACAGACCCTTTCGCCAGCTCGGTCGTGTGCTTCCGGTTCGTATTCATATGCATCGATCGGGTGCTGCAGCCGCGGCCTCGACCTTGCAGCCATCCCTGTAGCCAGAACCAGACATAACACCTGCAAGAAAGAGACAACATATCTTATATGTCACGAAATAAGTAGGAATATCAAATTACCGTCCGGCTTACGAACCATCGTCTATATATGAAAAAGCAGTGAAGTGTAAATCCACTTCTATCTCTACTAAATTTGCATCTAATTAAGTCTGTGGATTTCTAAATGTCCAGGGGCAAAACGGGGGGAAAGATTTTTTTTTAAAAAAACCCTTTAAATTTCCCTACGGGGGTTTTTTCTGGGATTTTTTTTTTTTTTTAAAAATTTTTTAAAAAAAAAAAACCCCTTCCCTTTTAAAATCCCCCCCCCCCTTTTCCCTTTTTTTTTTTTTTTTTTTTTTTTAACCCCCCCAAATTTTTAAAAAAAAATTTATAAAAATTCCCCCAAAAGGGGAAAAACAAAATTTTTTTTTCCCCCTTTTTTCCCCCCCCCCTACACTTCCCCCCCCCCCCCCCCCCCCTTTTTAAAAAAAAAAAAAAAATTTATATTTTTTTTCCCCCCCCAAAATATTAAATATTTTTTTTTTCTTTTTTTTATTTAAAAAAAAAAATTTTTTTTTTTTTTTTTTTTAAACACCTCTATCTGTGGGTGGCGTTTTAACAAATTAAAACTAATTTGTGGGGGTAGCGTTGGCTTGATGTAAAATGTTGCCATTTAGTGACGTATTTTCGCGTATAAAATAATTATGTTCTTAAACAATTATATGTGATTGATAAGTGCACTTTAATATTGTGTTGCAAGTTAAGGCTTTTTGGTCATGTGGGGTAATGAGTTGAACGAAAGATTTAAATTTCATGAACACAATTAATTGGTTTGTTAGGGCGTGAGTGATCCACTTTCTTGTGAAATCAATCAGTTAAATAGACACATAATTCTCTTCTACCCTACATAGAAAAAATAGATTGTCGCCAATATGAGTATAAACAAGGTTTGTGGAGATTCACATACTAACTATATTAGTGTTAAAAGTATTTATGAACTATATACTATATCAAACATAGAGTTTGTTATACTTTCACTTTGTAATGTTGATACTAATATTAAAATTTCTATTCAATTCCACGACAACACGCAATTAGAACATTTTTACCACAGTACTTATAAAAATACATAAAAACAAACGCCTGTGAATAAAAAGCGGAATATACAGTAATTACCGAATACATACCGACCCAGTTTGCGCTGACGTAAGTGTAGTGTGACCACGCCGCGGGGAAAAGCGGGATATTGGTGCAAAACTAGTCTAGTCACGTAATCGGAACGCAGTCCCAATACTAGTTCTATTGGAATGCAATATCTAAGTACGCATAATCAATACAACAATTGCTCAATCATTAAGTTTAGCGGAGTATAAGTGAGTTAAATCAGTAACAGGGCTTATCCTCAAACTAAGTAGCTTAACTTATTATGAATCAAAGAAATATTAGCAAATATTAAGTACAGATAATGATGACAAATAATTTACCAGGGTCTATAAGTATAACATATAATGATATTTCCCCTGTAAAGTAAAATTTGTATAGTGAAATAGTGAAGGATTGTAACCAAAACTTGACGAGTTTCTTGGCAGTTTTTTACGTTTATTCTACGACTTTGGTTTGGGAAATGGTAGTAAATGTAATCTTTGGGTTTTTAGTTCTGTTCTGATCTTCATAAACGTACCTAGCTACCTACATGAATAAAATAATTTTTGACTTTGATTTTTGATTTATACCTGTTCTTTTATGGGAATATATATATATATATATATATAAATTTTGCTCTAATTATAAATACACGTCAATTTAAAAACACGCAATTATCATTAATATATTATCACTAACAATACTTGAATATATATGTAAGTTCTAGGACACGGTTAAGTAGGGTGTCACTAGTGCATAAGCTAATAAACATGGAAAGTTCAGTGAGAACGATCGTGGACAATGACGTTAATATTTTTAGACAATTCGCGCCTCTACAATTATCGTTGTGAAAGTTTATGTCGTATTGTGTCGTCGTGTATGCGAAAATGCGTAATTATTACGTAAACTCGACTTTTTCCTGTTTCTAATGTTGAATTTTTACGCTCTATTTTCAGTTCTTTTACCTGTTATGATCTATTTGCATTCTGGTCTTATATATACTAATTATATTCATTGACCGGTTCACAAAATCTACTTCACGAAAACTTTGATGTCGATAATTTGATATTATTATAATCTCAAATTAATCATTAGAAAAAAATATATATACGAATAGACATACGCTTTACGTATTAACATACACATATTAATTTACTGTAATCTATTTACCACTATATTATTGTTTGTAGTTCACGCGAATATTACTTTAAATAAAACACGAACGGTTTTCCTGGCTACTGCAAAGCATCCGAAACGTCGGGTAGTTCTTAAAATAATTTTCAAATAAATTTAACAAATATATTTCTCGTTTTGAACCGTTACAGTGTTTTATTTAAATTCGTACATTTTGTAGCAGAGGCGGGGTTCGAATCCACGACTAACGGCGTATACATTGTTTAAATAGTCGAAACAATTGTAAGGGGATCTAAGCACAAGCTCGTTACTCAACGTAGAAAGTGCACGACGCGTGCGCAATGCGAGATGTGTTGAATAGACAAGCGAACACCATGTTTAGACTCACTATCAAGTGCAATGTGTTGTGACATCATTCGTGTGTCGCAGCCATTCATATTAGTGGCTCAATTACTTTTGCCTTTCTTTAAAAACGGATGTAATTTTCACTTTCAGTTTCAATACATTTGTTTCTTCTCTCAAAACGAACATTTCAGCCAATCAACCTGTTGCCGCTAGACTCAGGTCTATTTCTAATTCTGTATGGCATTTTATAATCTCTCTTTGTTTAATTTTGTAATTTAAATTTGTTGCTACAGCTAGACACACCGAGAAAAATATGTATCCTACATATATATAGCTTTCGTCGTAGTTTATTATGTGCCATCTGCAAATTAACCTCATGTCATATTTATAATGTCAAAATACATAAACGCCGATTCACATTAATTCCGCACAAAATTGGCTCCATTTTGCAACGCATGCGCAGCTCGGCTCCCGACAATGCGCCTCGTTAGCCACAATCTGTCACACCATTGACAACCATCAATCTAGGGTGATGACGGGACGTTTTGAATGATAAATTACCTAAGGGTAATAGTTATAATTCTGGCCCGTCGTTTCTTAAAACGAGCAGGCTCATGCTTCTAACGTATAAAGTTCTGAATTCGGCAATAAGAGCTGTTTACTAGGCTGTATCAAATAGAATCATAGAGTTTTAATAAATAAATAAATTATTAAATTAAACGTTTTAAATAAAAAATACTGTCCGATAGTTGTTTAAAACTGTAAACCGAAACGAGAGGACACCGTGAATCAGTTTTTTAAACACCCAGTTAGTTAAAAACCGTCTCTAGTTTTCCCGAGTAGAACCCCCTTTAATAAAAACCCTTTCCCGTTTTAAAACCCCCAATTTTTTTTTA